CGTCAGAATGCTGTTCATAGACTTCAGTTCAGCATTCAACACAATCATCCCTCAACAGCTCATTCACAAACTGGTCCAGCTGGGGCTCAACACTTCGCTGTGCAACTGGCTGGTCTGAATAAGCTCTTTTGCACTACAAATTTTTTTTGCACTACAATCATTATATCTGCTGTTTACTTTACTGGTTTGCACTATCTGCCATATGCCTTGTGCTTTATATACATATTTTTACATTTTACCTTATTTGTATAGTTGTATTTTGTATTTAATCTGTATTTATGTTATCTGTATGCACCAAGGGTCTGAGAGTAACGCAATTTCAATTCTCTGTGTGTATGTGCTGTACATGTGGAAGAATTGACAATAAAGCAGACTTGACTAAATTAAGAAGTATATCGTGATATAAATGATGGCCATATCGTCCAGCCCTGGTATCACATTTTATACTTATTTTCATAACACTTTATAACAGTACAAGTCTTTTGTAAAAACATCAGAAAATGGTTTAATTTAAATGTAATTATTGCATTTAAGAACACTGAAAGTGATCAAAAAAGAATCAAAAGGAGTAAAACAAATCTTATTTAATTATTTAAAATGCTTTTTAAAGAGACCTTGTCCTCTGGTGTGACATCTTTGTCCTATGGTGTGACAGAACAGGCGTCACACCGGTGGACATTTTCTGTCACACCAAAGGACTTTTCAGCCTTTTTCTGTCAATTAATGACCTTGTTATTCTAAGCTAACCTGTCATTAGCGGTTTGAAAGACACATTTGCATAATTTTCCATGATTATGTAGTTTAATTAAAAATATATAATTTAGGGGTGTCACACCAAAGGACAACAAAAAGTAACACTTTTGTAGTGGTTCCAAAAAAGTTAAATATTTGAACAATTCTGAAACAAAAATTGACCATGTGCTTATGTCATGAGCTTGACAGGAAGCTTCAGTAACATGATAATGAATGGGGTCCTTCAACTAATTTTTCTCTTTTCAACAGTTTTCTCTGGAATTAGCCGATTTAAAATGAGGACATGGTTTTCAGAGACAAAATGTATCAAGTTCCTACGTTTTCAGAAATGTATGGATGAAAAAAATTGCCATTTACTAAAATAGACACTTGTAAAATTATGACGGAGGTATTTATTACCATTTTTATGCTTTTCTTTTTAATTTATAAAAGTTGTAATTTATTGAACTATGCTAGAGACAGTCACACCATAGGACAATTTTGAGATTTGGCTCAAAAATGTAGAAAAAAAAAACCGAATAACACAGCAGATTTTATAACAACAGGTCCATCTAGGACAGGGGTAGGCAAGTTTGGTCCTAGAGAGCCGCAGTCCTGCAGAGTTCAGCTCCAACCCTAATCAAACACACCTGAACAAGCTAATCAATGTCTTCAGAATTACTAAGGCTATAGGCCGGTGAGTTTTGTTTTCAGGGTTGGAGCTGAACTCTGCAGGACTGCGGCTCTCTAGGACCGAACTTGCCTACCCCTGATCTAGGACAAAGAAATGTTTATTGATTTACTGCATTTTAAATAACTACAATATTAATTATATTCATTTTATCTTGTGGGACAGTGAAAATGCCATGTCATGTCAACAACCCACATGTCGTCACACTTCTCTAGTAAGTTTCATCTGTGTGTGAAGTGGCGTAGCGCAAATCTATGAATGAATGTTCTGAAGTGAAATAAACTTCAATGGAATAAAGTTGAATAGAATTGAACTGAAATAAAGTTAAATAAACTTTACAACTTTACTGTTCAGTGCACTGATGTCAGACTCATATTGGATAATAAAGTGTATTGTTAAATACCCTGTGCCTCCATTACATGATCATTGGAAAAACTGTGTTTGTGTGTATATATATATATATATATATATATATATATTCTGTTTATGTATATACTGCATTCTATATATAGTACCAGTCAAAAGTTTGGACACACAAATGGGAAAGTGTCCAAACTTTTTACTGGTACTGTCAGTGCTTAATTTGTAAATTAAACATTGCCGGATCCAAATCAGCCGTTAAAAGGCGCCGTGACCGACACTGACAATACAACTTCAGTTTTCCGGAACATTCAGTGATGTCACTAAACAGTGATGACACAACTATAGGAGCATCTTTCACAAGTTTCTGCATTAACCTAACTATACAGCCTAGGTTTTCAAACCCTGTGTAAAAATGGGTCGCCAGGATGATTTAAGGCAAATATATGTAACTTACATTAACAATAACAAAATTTGTTTCCATAAAAATAAAATACAATCATAATCTACATAGAAAAGTTATAAATATGCTAAAAAGATCTGACATAAATAATTAACAGATATAAAACAGATGTGAGGCGCGGCAATCCGCAAACAAGTTAACGGAAAGGGACCAGATAACCGAAATGACAGAACGTGCATCCTGTTTGTTTGCTTAATTACAAAAACACAAATGTTCTTTTTATTGAGAGTCTGCAAAAAATAAAAAAAAAATGTGACGTGACATGTGGCCAAGTATGGTGACCCATACTCGGAATTAGTGCTCTGCATTTATCCCATCCAAAGTGCACACACACACACCGTGAACACACACCCGGAGTAGTGGGCAGCCATTTTTTGCTGCAGCACCCGGGGAGCAGTTGGGGGTTTGGTGCCTTGCCTAGTCATGGTATTGAAGGTGGGAGAGAGTGCTGTACATTTACTTACTGATGTCACACTGAAGCTGTGTGATTTTCATAGTAGTGTAGCCTTTAAGCTCACCTTAAAATAATATGAAATCTTTAAAAATTACAGCACTGTAAAACCCCAGACCAGCAATAAACTGTCAATTTATAATATTATGGGTTTAAAAGTACAAGCCAATAATGCCTGTGAAGTAATATATTAGCGTAACACAATCTTATACAGCTAGTCAGCTAACTGTGTTCTGTAGCATCTGCGCTGTGTTGCTAAAACTATCTTTTGGATCTAACTGTAATTATTTCAAACATCCAAGTTCCATCCAGGTTATAATGTAAAAAAAGTATAAACATTAATCCCTTAATTTTACAATAAGTAGTGAAACTTACCCAAAATAAAGGCTTAAATATATTTTAAAAATGCACATTTAAGGGGCTCCTCTTTTGGTGAAAGTTTTCAGACAGCTTTCAAAATGGCGGCCAGACAGTGTGAACACATGGAGACCCATATCTCAGTGTGCAATCATCTGATTGATTTGAAATTACAGGAGGTATGTAGTAACAAACACATCAATTTGTTAAGACATCAAGTATGATAATACATTATTTTTTCTTTTTATAATCTGATCTCAAATATGGAAGTGTGCTTAATGGGTACCTGAGCTTAATAGGTACGTTTACCCTAGGCCTAATAAATAAAAAGAAAACAGATAGAATAGAAAGTGTTAGAGGCCTTTTTTGCTTTAGTTAGTTGTATAATAAATAAAAAGAAAAGAAATAGAGAAGCTAGTGTTGGTTCATTTTTTTGTTTTTATAAACACTTTGCGTTGTCTTACTCTTATCTGTATGACCAAAAACTGAGTATTTAATGTGTCAGCAGTTTGATCGCGCCGGTGCCTCGCGCACACACACACACACACACACACACAAAACGCGCGCCACATATTCTAGCAATTCACACTTGCCATCGCAGTCTGTTCATTATCAAAATAAAAAAATACAGTCAGCCAAACATATCAATTTAAAGAGTCAGTAGTATAACCGGTATACAGCTGCTGTTATGCCAAGCGCATTTTTGCGCATAAGAGGATGATTTTTTTCCGTCAATATGTGAACGCGCATGAAGCCTAGTCTACATTATAAATAATAGTTTAACATTGAAATACATTGCGAATATGGAAACATTGGATTTGTGCCAATGAGAGGGGTACGTGAGCCCAACGGTACTTTCAGTTTAGTTTTGGTTTCATTAGCTTTATATATTTTTCTTTCTTGATCTGTTCTGCATACCTTTAAATTTAAATGATTTGTTTTGGAGTGAGGGGAATTAGGCTATGATTATAGTGTTTATATATTATAATATTTAACTTTATTTGGTATTATTTCTGGTATTTCTGGTACTAATACACTCTCTCCAAACGTTCCACTGCTCACAAAAGAGTGGAGAGAATGGGTTAAGCAGTAGTACCAATCAACGAGAGCGATTTTGACCTTAAGAAAGTGTAATAATAATAATAATATAAAAAATAATGTTGAGGATCAATACATAATCTACAAATCATGTTCCAAATGCATCTACATAAACCCGCAATCGCTCTGTCTCGTATGCACGCACGCACTGTCACGATCTAATGCACTTGTTAATGCCAGATCTTTAAAAACAAAAACCGGAACGCAAAAATCCAAAATCTGACATTTTCCGGAACAGGATCCGGCTCAAATTAAGCACTGGGTACTGTACTATAATATAGCCTACACAAAGAATATCTGCCTTTTTTAACTGCCTAATATCGGTATTGGCCCTCAAAACCCCCATATCGGTCGGGCTCTATTCCTGTCGGTACATGCCATTGTCATTTAGAGCGCACAAGCCCTGCCTATTTGCGAGGTCCAGCGTCGTAAGTCCCTCCCACTTGCGTAGATTGGAAAGTGTAACAGCGCCGCGTTTTGACTTTGAATAAATATCATATTAAACCATATCTCGATTCCTGTTTTTTATTCCCCAAAATGAATACCTCTTGATGATAATTGGAATTTATGCCATTTAAGATATTGAAGACTCTTATTACTTTACATTTTAATTTGAAACTGAATTTAACATTTAAGGACCCGCGTGGACCCTGAAAACCTCATCCCAAACACAACTGCAATGCTAAATTATGGTTAAAGAAGTTGCAGCTCCCACAAGTGTACTCGACCACTCCATGCTAGGTTCTTAAACCAGACCTTTAGGTTTGAAGAACCCATTTAACGTCCATTTTCAATATAATAACACCTTTTAAAAAGTATTAATTTAAAGTTAGATTTTAAAAACCAACCTTGTAGACTTGACCATATGTGCCATTTCCAACCACTTCGACCAGTTCAAAAATCCCGGCTGGGTCCTAGAGAGAAACAAAAGGAAAGTATAAAAACAGAGAAACTATGTCCATGTACATTAAAATAAAACAAACAATGGATTTAACAATAAAGCTCTCCTGGCTGTGTATTTAACACGCATGCTAGTGGAGTTCAAACAAAGGAAATATCGAAACTCTTAAACGATGGCCATTCCACAAATTATATATATTATGATTGTAACGCTTTCTCTCGTTTAAACAAAGACTGCGATACGTTCGAAGATTCTGAAATCATCTGTATCTACTGCAAAACACAATGAAAACAAGCTAATGTAGTCGGTACAGGCTAACGTTACTCACCCGTAGTGAAGAAAGGTCTATGTCTACTAGACTTTTCGCTGGAGAGTCGTTCGCCATCTTTCATTTGTAGAAATAATGTTTGTTGTAACAGGACTCTTCACTCCGCTGTACACCGTCGCCCGTAACTACCTGTGTCCGTTTTGTTTACTGTAGCTACATTTCTCTAGTGCAGGACACACGCTATTAATTCATTTTGCGTTCGAGGGGATTGGAGCAGTAGCTCCGTGTCCTGCAGAGATGACCGATTCGCTAGTGAATCGTTTTAGATGGTCCTTTTTTAGGACTCGGTGGAACCGATCGCAAACCGTGTCTAAATTACTCCACTGTAAACTAGCTTATACTTTGTTTTGTAGTTCAACTGTGACGTGGGAATCATTTTGTAATATAATAGTTAAAAATAATACTGTTCATATTCAACATTACTGATGTGTATTTTATTAATAATAATGGAATCATTACTGCTAACAGTTGTTAACAATGGTGTCGGGAAAAATAAACAACAGTCTTGGACTCAATCTTACCAACAAAATAAAAGTAAAATTTGAGTAAAATTGTTTTATTGTTTAAAATGTATCCCTTATGAATTTGTTTGGTGCAGCATTCTATATGTATATAGGTATGTTTGGGCTGTTATAAATGTTTTAAAAAATAATTTATATATTATAGAGTTGTTTGGGGTGGGGATAAATTAAAGCGATCTGTGATGACGTCACAAACGTGTTGCATTGTGGTCTATGGAGCGGCCTGAAGTGTGCATATTACCTCCTTGGTTTTTACCACAGCCAGAGATAGATTTTAGCCTCCTAGAACTGATGAGAGATGAATATGGGGGAAATTATAAGATCTTTAATTCATACATCAGAGGAAATTATTACAGTTATTTACAGATTTATACCTGGTTCTAAAGATCCTAAAACAGGTAGAGCAGCAGCAGCAGTAGTAATCCCTGAGTTTAATGTTGAGTGTGGAAAGAGAATTACCGATGATATATCTGTATATGCATGTAAAATTATGGCCATGATTATTGCTTTGCAATGGGTAGAGGAGGTCAGGCCAGTGGTAATTGCATCAGATTCATGTGCAGCATTAATGAGTTTAAAATGTTGCAACTCCAGGAGTAGAGAGGACTTGTTGTATGAAATACTACAATCATTATTCAGAATTCATCAAATACATTCCGCCAATAAAAACAAAAGAAGAAGAAGTGTGCATATGAATCAGACTCGTTCCCTCTGTCAAAATCGAGGGGTCGAGGGTCTGTCCATATACACTTCCCTCGCAATCGAACTCGGGTTCGGAACTTCGGACCAAGCAATCGAACCAAGTATGAAAGCACCCTTCGAAAAAAAATTTTGTCCAGAAAATCAGGCAATGGAAATCTGGCAATTAGATGTTTTAATGAAATGATCTCAAACTTGATTTTTACCGCTATTCTGAAGTTATTGTAGATACTCATTTGCACTCTGCAAAAAGTGAGATGTCACGCCAAAGCAAAAGGCAGTAGCTTCCACATTATATACAATATTTGGGTGCTGATCACCATTTACAGAATCATTATAGTAACATCTGTATAAAATCTAGTGATCATTGGCTAGGCTATTACATATATAGTATACTTATATATAGTAATGTAATAACTAATAACTACCAGACAAAAAGTTAAACGTGAGTGTGTTTTGCAACCAATTTATTTGCAATGTTCGCTAACATTAAAGGATGCAAGACATACTTAGCCTATTGTTTTTACATCGAACTGAATGAAAATAGCTTAACCTTAGAACGACTTGTGGATTGATGTGAACGCCAACAGAAATCATGCTCAGAATGATTGTGAATTAAACATCTCCGATGATGTTCATTGCAATGTTTTTTTTATCGAGTTACAAGAAAAGGTAGGAAACGGATTTAATTACGTACAGTAACTGATTTTATGTGATACGCTGTCATGGCATTCGACTCCTCACACGTGCAGAAGTGGGCAGCCCTAGACTGAGAGCTGGCATCTGCATTACAAAAAGAAAAAGAAAACTTTAAAGATTATTTACGATTAATTATTGTTGCCAAATTATCTAGTCGTTACTTGTGTAGCCGGGGAGGTGGCTAGTAGTAGAGGGCGTGGCCATGCAGGTGGGTTGAGTTTTTAAGTGGTCATCGGAAGGGAGGCCTAGAGACGACTTCGGCTGTAGATGGAGGAGCTGAACACGCAGCAACATCGAAAGCTTGAGTTCTGATAGGTCTGGAGAAGGGAATTCAAGTCTCTGATCCATTGCTTCAGTAGATGGCGGTAATGCTCAATTGGTGATTGCGAGCCGCCAATAAAAAACGAATAAGAAGAAGAAGAGGCTTAGAGACTGCGTCCGGTCTTTTTGTGTGGAGGCGCTTTGTGGTAGCACTTCCCTGTTTGTTTGTTTGTGCACGGACATGGTCTGGGTGAGCAGACGCAAACATTGTGCTGTCCTCTGTATGTGTGGTACCTCTGTGCTTGATTGTGCACATGGTCCGGGTGAGCAGGTAGGCTAAACGAACATTGGTTGTTGTGTTAACAAAGCCTTGTTTCATTGAAGTAGGATATTATGTTTTTAATGTAGATGTAAACATCGTGGATTTGTTTGCGGTTGGTCACGCTCATTCTTCTTTGATCTGGAAAACCTTTTTAAAGTAGTTCGGGATTGATGGCCGTGTTGCAGGTAATTGCAGAGGTTTTTATATAGGATTTGTAAGCGTTTTGCTTTTATTATTTTAATTAAATTTAAAATAAAAATTAACAATTGGAGTCATTTTTCCTTGAATGTTGTTAATTGTGTTTGGTTATTTGTTTGTTTGTATTAGGTTTAGTTGATCGCTGTTCCTCCAGTGTTCGTTGTATTTCCTCAGCCAGCCGGTCCTTGTATGTGCGCGCTGTATGCTTCCAGCGCAATTCAGATTTGATGTTCGTTGTGAATCGGACTGGCTAGCAGAGTGTTTTATTTTCTTTCTTGTTTGTTAGTTTTTTCTTATTTGTACATCACTTCCAGCCTCGTGTTGCCATTCAACCTTTGTACCCTTTATACATGTTGATGCTTTGAAACACCTGCATTATTTATTTGCATGAGGGTTATGTTTGCAGTGATATTAACCGTTGATTTGGAGTACTACTTTTGAGTGAGGTGTGTCTTACATGTAGTAGGAATTGAAGGGTGTTTGTCATTTCCTTTTTTTCTTTTTGGATTACTTTGTGCAGAGAAGCTTGGATTGTATTTGGGTTTATAGAGGGTTGGCTGGCTATATTCTTTGTATGAGGAGAAATTAATTTCTGTTATATGATGTATTTAGTTTGTGTTTTTGTTATATTGTTTCATTTGTATGAATAAATGTTTTTTTGTGATGTAAGTTTATGATTACTAGTTTTTTGTGGTCACCCTTGCTTGAAGGAGGAGTTATAATTTGCTGTAGTCTGCAGGGTGACCAAATTTTTTTTAGGGAGGAACAGCGATTGGCTTGTATGATGGTTGCTTTTGGCAACATTGGACTGGTTTGCTGCAGTTATGGTGGAGGAGCTGCAGCAACTATGGGAGCAGTTGGAGCAACTGCGAATGGAAAATGAAAGATTAAGAGGACAGCCCCAAGTTGGAGGTATAGCAAGTGTTGTATCAAGTTCAGCCCCCGAAGGTAATGGACAGCGGCTTGAACAGGCGATATATTTGCCTAGAGAGAAAATGTTCGAAATTCTCTGGTAAAGCGTCCTCGGGCTCGCCTTCGTTGGAGGACTGGATTGAAGAGGTGGAGAGCTGTATTAGGGGGAGACACATGTCTGAGTTAGATAAAGCCATGTTTGTTTATGATCATCTTGAGGGGGAGGCTAGGACTGAAACTAAGTTTAGGTCTGGGGAAGTTAAAGAGAATTCCACTGAGATATTTGCAGTTTTGCGTGAATTGTATAGTTCTTCTCCTATGTGACCTTGCAACAGCAGTTTTTTGATAGAAAACAGAAGGAGGGGGAATCATTACAAGAGTTCTCTCATGCATTGATGGATCTTATGGATAAGGTACGAAAAGCTAACCCTAATGTTGTGTCTGACTACCAGGTGGTTCTGCGAGATCAGTTTTATGAAAAATGTTCAGGACCATACTCTTCGAAGAGAACTAAAGAGGTTGGTGAGGCAGGATTATTCCTTGGCCTACGCAAAGAGGCAATGCGTTGGGTGGAGGAGGGACAGCCTCAAAGAAATCGAGCAAGTAAAGTAGTTCCTCACTCATTTGAAACTCAAGTTGTGAAGAGAATCGGGTGGTTAGCTCTGAATTTTTAGAATTGAAAGATATGGTCCTAAGACAGCAAGCACAATTGGATTTGATTTTTAAAACTGAGTACTCCAAAAGGGGCTGTAGGTAATGTTAGAGTTTCCAGAAGTAGATTTTGCAGAGCACCTGATGGCCAACCCATATGTATTAAATGTAATCAAGCTAGTCATATTGCAAGATATTGCACTACCAATATGCAAACTAGGTCCTTGCTCGCATCTGGCTCTAGTGGTGGGGCAGTCGTTGAGTCAGTCTCATTGACGGAAAACTAGAGCCCTCCAGGGTGCAGAGCCACACACTGGAGAGTTCAAGGTGGTCTTTCAAGGTACTGATTTCAATATTCTTGTTTATGAAGTCATTCTTGGCTTTCTCTAGTAGCTGTTCGGCATACTGGAGTCTATTTACCAGGTCTTTCTGGGCAGCCTTTGCATGTTGTTGGTCGAGCTGTGCTGCTGCCAGGGCTGCTTGGAGCTTCTTAACTTGTTCCGTTGTTTGCTGCTCCTTCTCGTTGGGTGCTTTGAGTTGATCTTGAACTTTCACTTCCAGCTTGTCTATGCGGCGTTGAGC